ATTACAACACAGACACTGTGTTGAGTGATTCACCAACATTAACTCATCTAGCCTTCACACTAACTCCACTAGGAAAGCATTATTTTACACATGAGAAAAAGTACACTTAGCAGTTTTAAAGATCTTATCCCAGGTAACACAACTAGTAATTGGCAGAGTCAAAATTCAAACTCAGATCTTTTACTTTAGAGCTTCTTTTTACATTACCCAAAGTCCATGTCAGAATCATCTGGAGTGTTTCTTACAAATCCAGATTCTGGAAAACCTACCCAGAGCCCTCTGCTGAGGAAGCCAGCTGTAGGTTTAACTTGAGCAGTGAGTTTGGCTCAGGGTCATCACCTGATCCAAGGGAGATAATTGCACAGGCTAACTGACAACCTATGGGTGGGCTGGCATTAAAACTCTGACCAGTATGAGCAATAGCAATTAGTTAAGCCAATGAAACTCTCTCTCCCTCTCAAATGTAAATGAAACTTGCTAAGGAAAATAGTCAGGAAGTAGAGAGAGGAGAGAAAAGAAAACCCATAAAGAGAAGCAAGCATTAAGAGAGTGAGAGGGCCATATGGTGGAACAGTGACCAGTGATGCAGTAATAAGATAGCATGGAGCCAACTTGAAGCCTGAACAATGAATATGCTTAGCTTCTGTTGAGATCTATCTCTTCTTACCCATCAAACCACCAGTGAGCTAAGTAATCATTGGTCATGTCTTCCCTGACCCAGACTATTTTGACTGAGTTGACACATCCCCAGTTTTTACAGAAAGAGCTCTAAGTTAACACAAGTGAAATAGCCTTCCTGTGGTCTTCCCGCATTTACTCTGTTTGCCTCTCTAAACCATTATTGATATTGAAGCTGGTGTGATTTTTCAAAAATGTAAATCTATTGGGTTGTCGGAAAAGTCATGACACATTTTTGCAATGAAAAACATAGAAAAAATATGTCATGATTTTTCTGACAACCTAATACTTTATAAACCTCCTTGCTTAGAACTCAAAAATGATTTGCTAATCTTTGGACATAGATTGAAAATCTCCTTTTATGGCTCACAAGTCCCTGTATGGTCTACCCACCATGCCTCCCCTTCACCCTCAGCTGGGCCTCACTCCCACTCTCCTCTCTGGTCCAGCCACATTAGCCTCTCAGTCCCTTCTGTTCACCACACTGCCTCCAGCTACTGGGTTTAGCACCAGGCTATTCCATCTGCCTACAATGTGGATCCCTTGCCCTTTCACCTACTTAATTCCTATTCATCATCAAACATCACTTCCCCAGGGATGCCTCCCTGACCTCCCTGACTGACGGTAATCTCTTGGCAATACCCCTTCATGGTGGTGTGACTGTTTGTATGATTGCATGATTAATATCAGTTTTTGCCACTAAGATTCCTGAGATCAAGGTCTGTACTGACTTTGCTCACTGCTGTGTCCCCAGGACCTTGTAAGATGCCTTGCCTACAGTAGGCACTCAAATATTTGTTGAATACATGAATGGTTTAATGTCTACATACAATAACAGTGGGTAAATGCTCTTCTAAACATGTCATTGTATAGTTGTCATGGAGTGAATGACAATAGTAACAGTAGGCAAGTGGCTGTTGCTTAGGAAGGGCCAACACACAACAGAAGAGCAGAGTATGTGTGGCTGTATGCACAGTACCCAGGACCAAGCACTCGACTTGGAAGAGGAGCCCAGTCCTCCTGCAGCCCCAACATCCACTTTAGCACCTAGGAAAATGCCCAGAAGGTCAGCGGCGCTTGACTCTTCTTTATTGAGTTTCATTAAAGTTTGCAGGTGTATTTCCAAAGAGTTCATATCAACAAATTCATAGCTAAAATAACGCACATTTGAGGCCTATTACCCATCCCAATCTAGCTTTAAATTGAATTGGAAAATAAAGAGAATAAATTTGCAGCTTTGATTGAAAACTGAAAAGATGATACAATTAACACAAATATCTTTGATTGCCTCTTGAGGAACATTTGTGAATCAAAATTGGTAGTAATATTAACTGTATAGCATATTTTTTAAATTACCCGTGACAGAAGGAAATTGTTCCACATTACTCAAATATGTAAAATTATGGCTAGCAAATCAATAAATTTCTCATACAATTCCCCTTAGAGGACCTCTTTTAGTTCAAAAAAACTTTTTTGAGTGGGAGATAGGAATATAAGCTGTTAGCTGTGCTTTCAAGAGACTCTGAAACTAGTGGAGGAACTCATGGCAATAGAAAACAACACAAGCTGCAAGTGCACGTTGTGCAAAGTGAAAAGATGGCCCATCCTTTATCCTATGAAGGAGATACTCATGCAGAGCGCTTAGAAAGTCAAGAGAAGCTCACCAAGAAGACCATGAAAGGTCAAAGATATCATAGAGTCCAGCTTTCTAATTTGTAAGAAAAAATGAGGTCTCCAAAGGTGATGATCTCTTGACAAGTTGATGCTAATACCAGATCTTGAACCCAAACATTCCCTTTAAGGATTTGATAACACCAAGGATATGCTATGTCAAAGATATATGTATTTCCAAAGAGTTCAAGTTCAAGACCAAGTTCTATTGTTCCTATTGGCTTTCTCAAAATGACTCTAGCTATTAGGGGCTGAAATATCATGCAAATATTGATTTGCTCTTTATAAGGGGGCAAGATGCATTTTCCTACCCCCACCTGGCCTCTTCCTAATCTCCTTCTCATATATCAGGTGAAATAGCTTTCAAAAATACAAATCTGATCATGTCATTCTCTTCCTTCCCAATACTCTTAGGAAAACAACCTGAGTCCTTTATCAGGATCGACATGGTCTGGCCCTGGCCCTTGGTGGCAGCCTCACCTTCCACCACTATCTCCTTCCTTCCCCAGGTTCCAGCCACCTGTGCATCCTTTGGCTCTTCAATCACGTCATGCTTTGTCCCACTTCAGGGCTTCAGCGCACACTATTCCCTCTGCTTGGAACACTCTTCCTCCTTCTCCACCTACTGATTCATTAGCCTTAGATAAAACGCCACTACTCTGACCTATAGACTGGTTAGTCCTTCACTGCCCTCTGTATGTGCTCTTTAGTGAGCTACCTGTTTAGTATCTATCTTCTGCACTAGGCTCTAAGCCCCCAAGAGTACAGGAACACGTCTATACCTTTCACTGGTGCACCCCCACCCCCTAGCACAACACCTAGATTCTTAGGTAGGCTAAGCTGCCAGAACAAATAAACTTCAAATCCCTAGCATTTTACAGAACAAAAAGTTATTTTTTTCTTTTTCATGTGAGAGTCAGAGTGGGGCTTTCAGGTCAGTGGCAGTTTTACTCCACGCCACCATATGGGGCACAGGCTGATGTGGCTGTGGCTTCAACATGTGGCTTCCAAAATATTCCTGATTATGTCTATGTTAATCAGCTGGAAATGGGAAAGAGCATGGAAGAGCTTACATGGAATGTGATCACTTCTCTTCTCCTCTTTCACATTAGGGGNAATTCCTATTTCTAAGAGTTGTTGAGGATAAAAAGAAATATTTATCAAAGACCTGGCACAATACCTGTTACTCAGTGCACACATTTTAACCATCACATGAACTACATGAGAAACTACAGGTCCACACACACTTGGGGTGAGGCTGGGGGATTCTTTCCAAAAAGGCAACATCATGACCAACCTGGTGGCATTGGCCTATAGCAGTGACTCTTACAGTGACTATAAGACACTTAGAGAATCCAGTAGTTATTTCAATGGGGAAATGCTCACATACATGAAAAATTTTGCATAATTCCTAGAGGCTCTAAGACTCCCAAAAACGTAATTCATGGAGCTTCTGGGCTTCCAGAGCACCAAATGAAGAACTGAGCACCAGAAAAAAAGCACAAGCCAAACCATCAAAGACAAGTCTCTTAGAATCTCCCTCCTCTTACTTGCTATTTCATTTTGGCTCAATAGGGAGCAGGGCATTGGATTGAAGTGTGAGAACAAACCTGGTAAAACCACTGTCCTGTAATTAAAGTTTTTTCTGTCTCAAATAGTTTACCAAACCTTAAGTGCCATTAATACCATGCTAATCTTGCGGTGCCTCAGTCTGCTGAGCCAACGTACAAGAGCCTCTCTGGTGCAACCTGCAGGCAGGTGGTCTTGTGTGCTTGTCAGTGAGTCCACATGGGGTCATTTGTCAAGTTCCTGCTTTCCATCCACACCTTTCCTTTCCCCAAACTGATACCAACCTCAGTACACTCAAGTGCCACCATATTGCCAAAGGACCAGATTGACTAAGGGATTTTTGTTTCTTGATGTTTCTTTTTTTTTCCAGATGGCTTGACACTGTGTATAAACAGCTTAAATGTTCCATGATATTGTGAGATTTGTTATAGGAAAAAATTGTATATTATAACTGAACTGTCTCTAGATGCTGCTATGTCTTATAAAATGCCACTCAATCCTGATGAAACCTGATTCCCAGTATTTTGATTCCATCATCATCATCATCATCATCATCATGCTGTTTCTTTTCCATTTGTTCACCTCTCTCTCCTGTTCCATTCTCGGCCCTTCTCTATATCCCCAGAGGCTAATTCCCACAGACTCTACCTCACATAGGCTGGAGATCAGAGCATGGGGTATTTCTTCCCCACTCTCTCCCTGCTTTGCCTGATTTCTAGCCATGGCTGCCTCCTTTCAACCACAGACTCTGTCAAGTGGTCCCTGCTCTAAGAATTCAGCTCTCACTGGGTGCCAGTATACAACGTCCTCTTCTTGCTCCTTCAGGATTAAGGGTGATATGTCTTCCACTGTTGCTAGCCTCTGGGTACCTCAACATCCATGTTCAGTTTTCTGACACTGCCCACTGAATAAACCTTTCGTGGATGTCCCTGTTGCCTTCTGAGTTAGATTCTGTGTCCTGCTAAGACCTGATGACAGTCATGTCTAACATGATTGTCTCTGTGACTTCACGAGTTCTAACCATTAAGTTCGTGAACTTGTTGCAACGATGTTGCTAACTTTTTTTGATACCAGAGGGATTATTCATTATGAATTTGTACCAACTGGACAGTTAACCAAGTTTACTATTTGGAAGTGCTGAAAAGGCTGCGNATATTGAGAGAGTCGAATTCTGCTATGCACTAACCATATTTCCATGAAGCCTGAATCTCTATGCATCTGAGGGAGTGTGTTGGCTGTCAACATAGGAGCCCCATAGCAAGTTTCCATTATAAAAACAAGATCATTCCAGGGCAGCCATTACAGGATCACAACAGCACAAGCATGCAGAAAAGAGCTAACAAGAGGTAGGTATAAAACTTATTAGAGAGAGTAAATAGACACAGACCTGACTACACAGTATGTGAAGGCAACTGGGATAGTGACAGGAATGCGTGGGGTTCCGTAAACGCAGGTAGTCTCCCTGGCAAAGAAGCAGGGTGAGGTCACACAGCTGCATGGTGTCAGGTCAGAAAACAGGCTCCTGAGCAAGTTACTCAAGCTCCCTGGGCCTGTTCATGAGTATATTGCAAGTATTTAAACAAGCTAATGTCCCTAAAATTACACAGGGGCTTCTATTTCCAGGAGGATGCAGTTGACATATTTTCCCTAATCCTTCAATGAAAATCCTGGACAATATACATAAAACAAATATAAGTCTAAAAGATGGAGAAAATAAAACAGACTGCGGGGGACCTCAGGACACAGGTAACGTGTCAGTGAGCTCCCTGGTGTTTCTTTTCACCACATCTACCCCAGGCTGGGTGCCACCCATCTGAAACATCAAAGAGCGCAAACAGAAAGCCCCACCAAAAGCCTGCTCTCTCTAGCCAAAGGAATAGGTAAGGAACAGCCTAGCAGGACAGAAAACTTAGAAAATAACTACGCCATCTAAATGCCATTACAAACAACTGTGTCCCATCCACACCAGCAAAGGTCAAGTGATGAGCCTAGAGTCACCCTCTCCCGGATGAAATGAGGGGCCTCAACCACGACATCAGGTGGTGTCAGAGAATGCTCAGAAGGAGGTCAGGGCTTTCATCCTCCTAGGGTGGTAATGAGCCCCCCGTCTGGCCATGGTGTGAGCTGAGACCCTTTGGGGGCCCTGGCCTTCAACCCCCAACCTGGTAATAATGAGGCACCCCTTCCATCCCTGTTAAGCAACTATGTTGCCAGGAGATTTGCTCTAAAAAGTATGGTTTAAGAAAACTCTCTAAACATAATGGCACGGCTCTTATCAGTTTTTTGGGGTTTTTCCCCCCACTGTTTTATCCTCATTGCTTTTAATAGTGTTGGACTCATAGTGAGTTCTAAGTAAATATTTGTTTAGGTAATGAAGTTAATTTCTCTATGTGTATTGCAGAGTCCTCAACTATAAAGTTGAGTTAATGATACTTCTATTCCATATTAATATGCGGATTAAATGAGATAATATTAAAAACACACAACTTTCCCAGGATATATAAAGAACTTTTACAATTTAAAAAAGACTGATTAAAAAGTGAGCAAAGGGCNATTCCTATTTCTAAGAGTTTTTGAGGATAAAAAGAAATGTTTATCAAAGACCTGGCACAATACCTGTTACTCAGTACACACATTTTAACCATCACATGAACTACATGAGAAACTACAGGTCCACACACACTTGGGGTGAGGCTGGGGGATTCTTTCCAAAAAGGCAACATCATGACCAAGCTGGTGGCATTGGCCTACAGCAGCAACTCTTACAGTGACTATAAGACACTTAGAGAATCCAGTAGTTCTTTCAATGGGGAAATGCTCACATATATGAAAAATTTTGCATAATTCCTAGAGGCTCTAAGACTCCCAAAAATGTAATTCATGGAGCTTCTGTGCTTCCAGAGCCCCGAATGAAGAACTGAGCACCAGAAAAAAAGCACAAGCCAAACCATCAAAGACAAGTATCTTAGAATCTCCCTCCTCTTACCTGCTATTTCATTTTGGCTCAGTAGGGAGCAGGGCATTGGATTGAAGAGTGAGAACAAATCTGGTAAAAACACTGTCCTGTAATTAAAGTTTTTTCTGTCTCAAATAGTTTACCAAACCTTAAGTGCCATTAATACCACGCTAATCTTGCGGGGCCTCAGTCTGCTGAGACAACATACAAGAGCCCCTCTGGTGCAACCTGCGGGCAGGTGGTCTTGTGTGCTTGTCAGTGAGTCCACATGGGGTCATTTGTCAAGTCTCTGCTTGCCATCCACACCTTTCCTTTCCCCAAACTGATACCAACCTCAGTACACTCAAGTGCCACCATATTACCAAAGGACCAGATTGACTAAGGGATTTTTGTTTCTTGATGTTTCTTTTTTTTCCAGATGGCTTGATACTGTGTGTAAACAGCTTAAATGTTCCATGATATTGTGAGATTTGTTATAGGAAAAAATTGTATATTATAACTGAACTGTCTATAGATGCTGCTATGTCTTATAGAATGCCACTCAATCCTGATGAAACCTGATTCCCAGTATTTTGATTCCATCATCATCATCATCATCATCATCATCATCATCATCATCATGCTGTTTCTTTTCCATTTGTTCACCTCTCTCTCCTGTTCCATTCTCGGCCCTTCTCTATATCCCCAGATGCTAATTCCCACAGACTCTACCTCACATGGGCTGGAGATCAGAGCATGGAGTATTTCTTCCCCACTCTCTCCCTGCTTTGCCTGATTTCTAGCCATGACTGCCTCCTTTCAACCACAGACTCTGTCAAGTGGTCCCTGCTCTAAGAATTCAGCTCTCACTGGGTGCCAGTATACAACGTCCTCTCCTTGCTCCTTCAGGATTAAGGGTGATAAGTCTTCCATTGTTGCTAGCCTCTGGGTACCTCAACATCCATGTTTAGTTTCCTGACACTGCCCACTGAATAAACCTTTCGTGGATGTTCCTGTTGCCATCTGAGTTAGGTTCTGTGTCCTGCCAAGACCTGATGACAGTCATGTCTAACATGATTGTCTCTGTGACTACGAGTTCTAACCATTAAGTTCGTGAACTTGTTGCAACGATGTTGCTAACTTTTTTTTATACCAGAGGGATTATTCATTATGAATTTGTACCATCTAGACAGTTAACCAAGTTTACTATTTGGAAGTGCTGAAAATACTGTGAGAAAAAGTTAGACAACCTGAACTTCTCGCCACCAATTCATGGCTCTTGCTTCACAACAATGCACCAGCTCACACGACACTGTCTGTGAGGGAGGTTTTAGGCAGTAAACAACTGTATTGGAACACCCTCCCTGATCACCTGACCTGGCCCCCCATGACTTCTCTTTACCTGAAGATAAAAGAAATATTGAAAGGAAGACATTTTGATGACATTCAGGACATCAAGGGTAATACAACAACAGCTCTGATGGCCATTCCAGAAAAAGAGTTCCCAAATTGCTTTGAAGGGTGGACTAGGTACTGGTGTCAGTACATAGTTTTCCAAGGGGAGTCCTTCGAAGGTGACCATACTGATATTCAGCAATGAGGTATGTAGCACTTTTTCTAGGATGAGTTCACGAACTTAATTGTCAGACCTCATATTAAATACTGATTACTCCTTATTACAACACAGACACTGTGTTGAGTGATTCACCAACATTAACTCATCTAGCCTTCACACTAACTCCACTAGGAAAGCATTATTTTACACATGAGAAAAAGTACACTTAGCAGTTTTAAAGATCTTATCCCAGGTAACACAACTAGTAATTGGCAGAGTCAAAATTCAAACTCAGATCTTCTACTTTAGAGCTTCTTTTTACATTACCCAAAGTCCATGTCAGAATCATCTGGAGTGTTTCTTACAAATCCAGATTCTGGAAAACCTACCCAGAGCCCTCTGCTGAGGAAGCCAGCTGTAGGTTTAACTTGAGCAGTGAGTTTGGCTCAGGGTCATCACCTGATCCAAGGGAGATAATTGCACAGGCTAACTGACAACCTATGGGTGGGCTGGCATTAAAACTCTGACCAGTATGAGCAATAGCAATTAGTTAAGCCAATGAAACTCTCTCTCCCTCTCAAATGTAAATGAAACTTGCTAAGGAAAATAGTCAGGAAGTAGGGAGAGGAGAGAAAAGAAAACCCGTAAAGAGAAGCAAGCATTAAGAGAGTAAGAGGGCCATATGGTGGAACAGTGACCAGTGATGCAGTAATAAGATAGCATGGAGCCAACTTGAAGCCTGAACAATGAATATGCTTAGCTTCTGTTGAGATCTATCTCTTCTTACCCATCAAACCACCAGTGAGCTAAGTAATCATTGGTCATGTCTTCCCTGACCCAGACTATTTTGACTGAGTTGACACATCCCCAGTGTTTACAGAAAGAGCTCTAAGTTAACACAAGTGAAATAG